GTAGCTAAGCAAACCATAGCCAGGGGTGTCCCTGAGTTCCCCCTTCAAAGTTCCATTGAAAGTGCCCCTTTTGGAGGTGCCAAAAGAAGGAGCAAGGAGGGGTTGAATCCTATGAATTGCGGATCCTGAAGGGACCGTACTTAGATCCAATCTCGGGTGCGCATATGTAGCTACGGGATTAAGCGGATCCCAACCTGCAAGCTGCAACTATATTTCCCATTTTCTTGATTTTAGACATCACCTTGGCCTGTTTGAAATGAGTTTCTTCTCCCATGTTTTGGGGGCAATGCCAATGCCAATTACCGTGAGGTGACGCCAATTGCCATGGCGAACGAGGCTGAGCCTTGGCTTTTCCATCCGATGCCCAAAGCTTGCCCGTTGACCTGAGGTGCTCGTCGAAATTACTGGAAGAATATGGTTAATCTGGGAGAGGCATGGTGGGACTCACTTTTTTTTCCCAACAACCTGGGGCGGAGCCTTAATACGTCATGCTGGGGAAACAAGCAGCTTGGCTCACTTGGCAAACTTAGAACTCATGTGTTGCAAAAGTGCTCAAGACATAGACTTGCGCTTGGAGTTGGCAAAAGTGTTTGTCCTCTTGTGCCAGGTGTCTTCGTCAGTTTAGTGAAGCACAAGTTGAGTCACATGCCCAGCCAGTCAGGGAACACCTTTTGAATAGTTTCCTACAGGTGTGCCCAAGAAGCTCCTATGGCACAGAAGCGTCTTGACTAAACTTGCATGAAATTTGATGTTCATTGGTTCAGTGGCACCGTTGGTTGCCTCTTGGCGCGTTCCCCACTAGAAATAGTCAACCCCAACAAGGACTCCCTGTTTATTAACTTTTTAATGAGGGTCGCTGGTCAACTGGCCTGCTTGCCTTTAGAGGTGGCTCAGACAAACAGGACACTTCAACTGAATGCCCCATGCCAAATCAATCAGTTGGTCAAAACACCAAGAAGGAAATCGGCCATTTTCTGGGGCCTTTTTGCGCGCTGACTTCTCCAAGGCCATCATCCTAAATCCGCAAGCGTTGTGCACCAATATCCAAGTTTAAGATTTCAACACTTCGAGACGTGGAGCTATAAGATCAACCATCATTATGGGCGAGGACATTCACCTCCCTGGCCCCTGCGATATGCTGAGGGGCCCATACTACGTATTCGGTACATCAAGGGTGCACGTTTGCTTCCTTGCTTTTTTGTTTGTTACTTTTCGCTGTTTGCATATGGTACGGGAACTGCAAGGGAAGACTCTGTGATTCTTTTTGTACTATTTCGTTCACTTCGCAGAAATTCCGTCTCTGAGGCCATGGCTCCCGTCGTTGGTGCTGCGGCAAGGATGGGGGTCGGCAGGTCTTTCCTGAAGTCTGCGATCGGAAACCGCAGAGTTTCAGGTTGGCGAACTGTAAAGCAGAATCTGAGCAGTTATATGGTGGTTGATTCTTTATGATGATGCTTTTTCACCCGAGGTCGAGCCAAGTTTTGCTGAGACTGTTGTTGGACTGCTTTGAAGGGTGCCACATAGCCCATAGGTCATGTTTTTGCCAAAGGAGGCCAACATGTGATGAGCAAGGCCTCCTAGTTCACGCCTAAAAAACCGAAGCATGCGCAATGTGTTTAGAAGACAAAACTGTTGCCGCTGCTACCAGGTTTGAACAAACCAAACATTCAGACGGGTTCCTATCGGAACCCATGTTCATCCGGCTAGGTTCCAAACATGAATCCGCTTAAGGTCCCTTGAGGCAAGTGAGGGTTCTGTGATTCCCCGGCCTGCCCTTGAACAGGAGGAACCCTCGTCCACACTGCGTCACGTGGCAGTAAAACTGCCAGGAATATGTTGATGGAGATGTTCATCGTGTTTACCCTGCCGTAGTGTGGGCACAAGGGCCATCGGTCGCTTCCGTATTTGTCCATTTTTTGCCTGTAGCTTTCGCAACGTCAAACAACTGGCTTACATGAGCGCTGAAGGTTTTCCTGGACCACTGACCTACTGCATGTGTTTCCTTCGAAGCCAGCGCTTGGAACCGTCTATGATGATTAATTCCTAATGGAAGAGCGTAGCGGTACCATTTGATAAATCAATATAACATGAGCCAAAATGGCCTGCCATTTTGGCTCAAGCTTGCCCCTATTCTTTGGTGAGAAAAGATGTTCAATCCCCTCCACTCGTTCTTCAAACATGTCCCACTCGGAAGCAAGCACCGATTCCTTCGACCTTGTGGAGTCGGCTTTGGTGACGGAGGAGGGTGCATTTGCGGCGCAGGAGGCGTCGGAGCGCCTACACGGAAGGGATCTCCCGGACGGTGGAAGGGGAAAGCCCACCGCACACGGACCTTCCCGGACCAGGACCGAGGACAAGACCATGTTTGAGGCGGAGGGCCTGGGGGGCCCAGGCAGAGCAAGAGGCCCTTAGAGATGGATGGCGGGCTTTGTCAAAGAGAGTTCCTGGACTACGTCAAGTTCCAGATGTTCCCGGATTCATTCCCTTCGTCTCCCTGCAGCTGGTGGTCCTGGATGAGCCACCGGAGGGGCTCCAAATCAATGGATCAAGGACCTCCCCCGCATGATGAGCGGCTGGAGACATCGGACGCCATCTGGTCCGTGATCCCGCAACGAGGAAATCAGGGTCTAAAAATGATCCACCAGGTGGCAAGGCTCCTGGACCAGACTGGGTCAATGATGATGGTGGAACAGATCCTGATTATGATGATGGTGGAACAGCTTCTGATTATGTTATTTGGGAACCACCCCCGGGCCCTACACAGGTGCCTCGTTGCCCTGAGGGGAATGGTGTGGTGGAAGCCGTGATTCATCTTTTCTCGACGGTAATCTACCCTGTTGCTACTTCGCTGTTCAGGTTTGCTGTTCTTGCGGACTTTGGACTCAGGCTCGACTCACCGGGAGCCAGTACCAAAAAAGAATCATGCCTTGCGGAGCGACCTTGGAGGCCAATCAGGCCCTGTGCTGAATGCGAGCCTTAATATGGAACCCGGCGTCTTCATTTGTTTTGGTGGGGGTGCTTTCCGGGGGGGGGGGGTTTACTTCTGGGCACGATCGGCATCTGCACTGCGTCCCTCCATCCGTATCGCACACCCGCACCGACTCTTCCCATGCCACATTTACATGCACACTGTTGGAAACGTACTCCACGTTCTTTGTCCTGAGCACAATGGACAGAGTGAGCCGATGTGCCTGACGCTGTTCAAAGAGGATGAAGGTCAGGAGTCGGAGCCAGCCATCCGATTCGCCCACATCTTGGGCAACAGGAACGTCCCATTCAGCCGATCAGGGCGGCCGCAGCGAGACCAGCCTCGGAGGACGATGTTCGCGAGATCCAAGGCGCCCTCTGGATGCTGCTGCTTGCGGCCTCCTCAGGCCATAGCTCATCCAACTACACGGCCCTGCAGGCGCTGACGAGCAAGACATGCGGCTGCGGGCGGATCAAGACGACCGGCGCTGCTCCAACTGGGGGTGCGGGAGATGGAGCCCACCGCTGCACATTAGCAGCAAATGGGCGGAGAGACTCTTGTCCCCCTTTGCCCCCTATGCGGGGACACCCGGTTCCGCACACTACGCCAACACTGCCTGACCTAATTACGAGAAGATCAGGAAGATGGGACCAACAAGCAATCCCCTGGAAGGAGGCCGATGTCCGCTCCCTCCTGAACATTGGCGGCGGCAGAGGCTTCGCCGTACAAGGTCCAACAAATTTGGAACACCTTTGCTGGATGTCCAAGATGGCATGCTCAAAGTAGAGGAAGCCCAGAGGCTCAAGCAGAAAAAGAACACCCTGGAAGAGAGTTTGGCTGACACCTTGAAGCTGTCCCGAGCAAGGAGGTCATCTGGGCGCTGGAGGAAGGGGCTGAGCGTCGGAGCAGTCCCTGGCACTGAGCGGCACAAGGCCATGGACGCCTACATTGGGGGGCTTGCCAGATTCCAGGTGGGTTGCAGCGCACGCTTCAACGACCTGCAACACGTGCACCCGAAGCACATTACCCAGCCCTCAAAGAGCGTGGAGCTCACAGCGTGGCAGACTAAGAGATCAAACAGCGCCCGGTGCCCCTGATATGCCCCAAGTTTAGCTTCACAGGCCAGACATGGTGGACTCCATTCGGGGGAGAAGGTGCATGGACTACCTGATGCTCACCGTCAGCAAGGACTACACGGGGCTATACCCCCCGGCCCCTTAGCAGCCATTGACGAAGGTGACAAGATCAGGACAATATACGATGGCTCAGCGGGGGGGCCAGCGACCACATCAAGAACAACACTGAGAAGAAGACCCAGCGCCCGAGCAGAATGGGGGGCCGGGTGAGGACCAACAGAGAATGGAAGAGGCCTCACTGAACGCCTGGACCAGGACTCCTGCAGGTAACCCACGCGCCCTGAGGTGCAGCGACGCAAGAGCCTCTGCCGAAGGGGAGGCATACATCGGGGGATAGTGCTCCAACACATCAAGCCCAGGAAGGACTCAGTCTTCTGGTTTCACATAGCGGCTCTGGAGCCCTTTGGGGCACAAACTCCTTGCCAAGAAGCAAAGTGACTCATCCTCGCAAGTCCAACGGGCAGTGAGAACCAAAGAAATGTCTATGCTATGCTCAACCTCTCCTCGTCCAAGAAGCCCTATACGGCTACCATTCTGATGGAGTTGCTCCATAAGCATGGGTGCTCCATAGCACCCAACCACATCCCCAGCAAGTTTAGCACGTGTAAGCTCACGCACCCAGGCTAGCATTCCTGGACCCCTACCGCGTGGGAGCTGACCCAGGACTTTGTCCGTCTCAAAAACGATTCCTTCAATGTCTCCTGGGCTTCACCCAAAATCCCCAAAATCCGTGACTGGATTTGTTGGATTTGCATTCGCCTCTCAAATGTAGCTGGGGTGGGGCAGAAACTGCCATTTTGGTCCTCCATGCTGGAATGCAAAGCATTGGCACCTACACATTGCTTTCGAAGGAAAGGGAAACTGTGGGGACATTTTCGCATTTAGTGACTTTAACAATGAGTCCCTACCTCATGTATAGAGGTGGAGTACCACGTGTGGAGGTACGATTTGAACGATGAGGGATTGGGATCCCCGCACTGAGGCTATCCGGAGCCACCAGCGAAGAAGCAGCGCATGGAGCTGGCCACGGGGCAGTACGGCTCTGGCGCCATCAGGACATGCCTTGTGGGTTTCACCCTGGAGGGCTGCATCTCTGGAGCAGGTACTTATTAATAGGAGCCCCGAAATATCAAGTTCCTTACTAAAAGAAGAGAACCACCCCTGATTAATATGGTCCTCCAGGGCAATCCGAAGCTGACGCTAATTGGGCATGTTTCCCCTGAAGTGAGTGGTTCCCCCTTCGATTTCCCTTTGAAACATGCTCAAAACTGGTACGCACCAGAATGAATGAGGAAATCAACTGGATCCTGGACAAGCCCCAATCTGGAAATAAGGGATTTTGGGGAAGCCTCCTTTTAAGGACCTTTAAGTTTTTGCAAATCCTTGTAGGGAAGCCCCCATGCCGTGGGCTAAATCGCTATCGGTGGAATCGCTGATCATTTCTCCGGAATTGTCCCCGCATGCCAAAACAGAAGGAAGCCCTGCGGGAAGCCCAGAAACTCACAGACACATAGCTAGGTAGCCAGTAAGATGGCCAAACACACTTATCAGGAGACTTACTAAGTGAAATCCTACCCAGTTGGATTTCATTAAAGGCTTCATGTCCTCCTTGGGGCAGGCTAGATAAATGGCCTTGGGGGACTTAACCGCCCCCTCCCCCCTCCAGGCGGATTTTGCGCAGGACCTATAACGGTGCCAAAGGCTTTGGCTTCATCGCAGGTGAAGGCTGGAGCAAAGTTGCGGTTACACACGGACGAAGCGCTGAGTTGGAAGTGACGATGGTTACAACCACAGGTGTCCTTTTTAGGTTAGTTTGGTTAGGAGTAGATGGCACTGGTATAGATTGGCTGCGAAACCGTTGCCATTGTGAGACAACCCATTGGGAGGGTTGTGTAAAAAGGGCGGACCCCGCTGTGTGCCACTGAAGGAGAATACACCAAGACGGTTCCCCAATTTTGAACCCCCCCTATGTTGATGTTTTTGTTTGATATGGAGTCGATGCTGCATTTCCAGGCTCCGCTTGAGTCGCCCGGCCGCAAAATGGCAAGCTTGGGAGGCCTGACGGAGGATGTGTTCTTCATGCGTACCTCCCTGCCTGATGGGTGGCTTGGCCAGGCGTTGCACAATCTCCCCAACCACTTGCTTAAATTACTTGCCCAAGCCACCACTGGCAGTTTTGTTGGGTGGTAGAGGCTCTGGCCCCTCTAGAGCAAAGCTTCTGCGGGTGCAAGGCTTTGGCTTTTTCAGCTCAGTGGATTCCGCCCACATCCCTTTTTGTTGTTCCGCACGGAAAACTGTCAACTCAACGCAAACCAGGTCCACGGATTCCTGCTGCTTCTCTCTGGGGAAAGGTTACTTGCAACCGAGTAGCTCCCATGCGGAGCCATCATTGGGACCTTTGGATGGCGAAAGACTCCCCATGCAAAGTGGCGGGGACAAAAAAGAACGTCATATGAGTCGGGAGAAAAGGGAGAGGGACCTGCGGCATCCAGGGTCAACCAAAACTAGAAGGCTAAAGATCCAAGCAGTCCAAGCTGGATAATTGGACACCCCCTGGGGAAAGGGGGTAAGAATGGATGGAGGGATGGAGAGATGGGGACGCAGGGCAAATGCATCTCTTTTTGAGCGTGATGTTGCAGGTATGGCTGTTCCTCAAAATGCGGGGGTGGGGGGGATCCCATCAAGACGAATGCTTTCTTTTTGGTTTGCTTGTCTGGTTTGAGGCGCGAATGTGGTTGGATCTTCGGCTCAGGTATCGCGAGCTACAGGGAAATGACCTGCAGGGTCGATCTGCCGAAGCCCCGGTGAGTGGCTGCCGGCTCCAAAAGGTCTCCCCCCCGAAGCGGGAACCGGGCGCCAGGCTGAGGTCGCTGGTCCATTTCGCCAATATCCCAGATCCAAGTACCACTATAGCGGATCGCTAGGATATTTGGGAGTCTCCTTTTTTAAGGGGGGGGGACCCCCCCAAAATCGTGGTTTCCTTCTGGTTTCCCTTTAAAACCACAAAACAGAGAGCCCCATATACCTTGTGGTTTTTCTCCATGGATTTTGCCCTTCTATAGGGGTGATCGGATCGGGTTGAACCTGGGTCCGTAGGTACCCTACCCCATGAATGCAACTGCGCCACGTTCCTCATGCTCGTTTTCGGTAAAATACCCCTGCTTGCAGGAACAGGGAACACAAAAAGAGGCCCCTCCCCCCATGCCAATCTGAAGATGGCCATGGTATGTCGCTTTTGCTTGCCTTGATTGCTGCAGCAGAACCGGGTCGCACGGACGTCGGCATCAATGGGGTGTTTGGAGCGGGTAAGACTCGTGCCATTTCTCTCATTCTGGCAGCTGCGGTTTACATATGGTGCAAACCGTTCTCATTACGGGGAACGAGCGGCTGTTTCCATTGAAACCACGCGTCGTTCAGCCCTGCACCTCCAACTCCGTTCAGCCCTACACCTCCTACTCCTAGAAGTTGCCCATTTTCTATTTGCACACTCCCCCAATTCAGTTACACAAATGGGTCGGGGTATTATTTAAGTGCTTCACCTATGCATTTTTCTCTGAAAATGGTAGGCCCATGAGGTCTCCTTAAGATGTGCAATGGTTTCTCTTTGCGACATCCCCAAACCCCCAATCCGGTTGCGGGTTGGGAATCACTACGTCTCTCATACCGGGTTCAATTCCTTCAACTCCCTTGTCAAGGGCAGTTTTTGGTATGTGTTGCGGATGTGTGGAGTCCAAGGTATGTACCTCTTACATACGGGGTATATACTGCCTTACTTACGAGTTTCTATTGGCGATAATTTGACAAGCATCCGTACCTCCCAAACTCATACGTGAAGATGCCCCTGACCTCGCATTCCCAAGGTGAGCTTCGAAATTGTGAAGACCTCTGACGGGAAGCTGCGTGCGCAGAACGTGAGCTTCGTTTGAGCGCGCATTTTGCGCGCCTGGCTGTCGGGCCCTGCCGGGCGGGCTTGCGAAGCTTTGCACATGGCACCCCGCATTGAGCGCGTGGTTTTTGCTTGTTCAAGTTATGCGGATACGTGTATTTCTGGCATGTGTATATCTATATATACCTGGTATATATACACGTATATATGTCCATATATACATGTACCTAGATATATATATATATATATCTATATGTATGTATAGCGCTTCTTAGGTCATTCGTGATTGTTCAGCAAGGAAGGCTAAACTGGCATCCTTGAGATTTGCATGTTTGCTACATGAGGACTGGAAGCAACACATTTGGACACATTTAGGCAAATAGCGACCTTGCAAGAAGATGGGGTAACGACCTCACTCCAACACAGCACTGAACATCTAGGTGGTTTACTCAGAATGAAACAATGTTCTCTCATTCATAACCGCTGACTGGTGAAGCCTCCTTCCCCGTGAACGGTTTGCCGAAATCACCCTGATTTCGAGAAAGGCACGCCTGTCAAAGATTGCACTGCCCAGCAGCAATCATGTCTCTTGTTGAATGCATCGCGAAGGGCTCTTTTGGAACAATCGCCTGCCAACTCGCACGAGCACACCCGCGGGAGCACACCTGCACGAGACAAACCTGCACGAGCGCACTGGCAGGAGCAAACTCGCTCCCAGCGAAACTGGCACCCTCTGTGGGGATCGGCGTGGTCGATGTGCAAAACTGAGGACTGACTTATCTGATATGCCCGTGCCACCCTCTGCGGGATCCGCTTGGTCAAGGTTCAAAAGCTGAGGCTTCTTTGTTCAAAGTGAGGAGAACGGCCCTTTGCATTATTGAGAACAACGCGAAAAAGCTTGCAGAGAGACAGTTGGACAGAGAGCGTGTGCAGACTAGCACAGAGCCCTTGCACGGAGAAGCATGCGCCGAGAGCTCGCCCAAAAACCTTGCATCAACAACTCGCGCAGAGAAACTTGCATCGAGAACTTGGGTAATTAAGCATACTTGAGCAGAGAATTGGGCCGAGAACTTGCACAGAGCACCCGGGGCAGACAAATGCGAGGAGAAACTTGCACAGAGAACTTGCCCAGACAGCTTGCGCCCCCATTCTTTCATCTGGTTGCTATACCCGGCCTGTTTCATCCTGGGTTGCTAAGGGGCTTGGCCGCCAAATAATCATGGTTGGCGTACAATCGTAACTTAATTTGGTTTTAGTGCGCTCTAATTATTTGGTTCTATTGGCTTATGCGAAACATGTTCAGACCAGGGCGCCTGTGCGGCATATATGTTCCGCTGAGGTCTGCTGACGCCACTGTAACCGAGGAGTTTGCCACCTTTCCAGCAGCCAAAGCACGCCAAACACTGGCTTGCTCCAACTAAAGTTCTGCACTCGCATATGTAGACACGCACACACATAATTATATTTACATATATTATATATGTATATATCTGTACGCACCCGTATTATGTTTTGTGCAAGGCTTTTTGCTTGGGGGCGAGCCGATTCGCCAAGTTTTGGATCGCATGAGAGCTTGCCCGCGGCGGTGAGGGGTTTCGCCCCGGAGTTGGCTGGCAGACACTGGGAAATATGTCAAAACGAATCAACCATAAAGAGAAACTTAAAACTTTGTGCTATCAGGTTTCTTCATCATTTTAACTGGTTGTGTCTCGAGTTTGGTAGGCTTGGGTAGACACTGATCATTCCTCATGGTGTTATACAATTACCATTTTGGCTCAAGTGCCTTGAACCAAACTGGCTAAGTGTATTTTCTTCTTCGTGCGCCCCATGCAGTACGCACGTCAGGGTGTTGATGTGGCGGTGCATTGCAATGAGGCCCTTCTTTCCGCGGGGGCCTTGCTGGATTTCAGGGCGCATGTTGAAGGCCTGCTCGCCCGGGGGGACCGGGCGGGGGCTCTGGTACTATGGGAGTCCGTGGTGGTTTTCATTCACGAACCACACATCCCTGATGCGGAGTTTGTTGTTGACGGGTTACCCCCCTTGGAGGAATGCCCTTGCACTCTTTCCCCGTGCCCACGATGTGAGCAAGGTAGGGGGGTTTCCGTTTCCCGTGGCTCGGGATTTGGACTCGCCGTAGTGTTCTGGCCCAGCCTGGTGCGTCACCGGCCGAAGTGTGGTGTGGATACCATGCTAACCTGGAGAGGTTGGATCTCCTGCTCCTGGCGCCGCTTGCGTCCGGGAGGATGCGGGCGGACTTCTTGCCCGAGCATGTGGAGCGGTTGCTTCACTGGGTGGATGCCTCCCCTCAGGGTGGACGCAGCCGCGGAGCGATCTTCACGGCTTGGCGCCGGTGGCAGTTGGGGCGGCCCTGCTGGAGGGAACCAGCATATGAACCGGTCCTGGGACTCCCCGTTGGTGGGGCAGTGGGGGCCGGGCGAGCGCTCTGGCACTGGCTGGGCGGCCTCGCCGGTGGCGTCGAATTTTTCCCACCGGTGTGCGTCCTTTGCTATTTTCCTACGTTTGCCACTCGCAACGGCCGTTCAGTATGCCCGGACTGCAGCAGCAATTTTGGGCTTGGCAGCAGCTAGCGCCATGGCGCAGGAGCATGGGATCTATGCTCGGATGGCCATGGAGGGGGGCACTTCCTGGACACCGGAGAGCGCTTCGGCTGCGCGGGTCCAGGAGTGGAGGCGCGAGCGCGGGCTGCTGGACGACAAGGACTTTGCCTTTGCCTTCAGCACCTACGAGCAGGCGAAGCTCCAAGGTGGTTTTGGCCTGGCCGATCGCTGGTTGGCAGCTCGAGCGGCACAGGAGGAGTCTTTGGTGCCGGATGCGGCTCGGGTGATCGAGGGTGACCACCGGGGCTCGGTGCGCCCTTCATCATCCGTGGCAGCTTCTGCCCTGGCAAGGCATCGGGGAGTGAGGCTCACTCCTCGGGAGCCTCAGCCAGAGGTTGTGGCAGAGCAGGCGGCGCGCTTGGCTTGTGCCCTCAGGCCCTGTGGCCATGTCAGCACCTTGCTGCGGGCTGAGTGGCAGGCGGCGTGCCGGCGACTGGGCCAGCAGCTCACCAAGCGAGCGGAGAAGGTGACCGTCCAGAATGCTTTGCGAACTTGGGCGGAGCTCGAGGGCTTCCTTCAGCAGCGAGGGAGGTCCTTCCCACCGGAGCTGTTGGACCTGGAGGTGTTCATCACGGAGGCCACGCCCGCACCGGCCCGCTCATTGGCAAGTTCGCGTTGGATCTTCAATCAGGCCAAGGTCAACATGGACTTGCAGATGACCCAGTTGCCCCGCCGAGTGGCATCTACAAAAGCGTGGCCAGGCAGCGGTGATGGATGTTCGAGGCTGGCGAGGAACGCTGGTCCGCACTTCTGGGTGGCTGGTTGGTCATGGCGGGCGTGCTCCGCTACAAGCATGTGACGATGGCCGAGCCACGCAAGATCACGCAGAGTGCCCTGCACGCCCACTGTCCCAAGGGTAAGCAGAAGAAGCTCCGCCAAGGGTTCAGCTTCATGATCCCGAGCACTTTCCTCAGCGGCTTCCCCTGGGCCGAGGTGTTCTTCGAGGCATGGAAGGCTCTTCCACGGGCGACCCAACGAACCTCGGGCCTTTGCTTCGCACTTGTCTGAGGTGAACCTGGTGTTGCGGGCTGAGTTCAACTCGTACTTGGAGGACGCCGATGCCCTGAGCACCTACTCCTTTCGCAGGGTGGCACCAACGCTTGGCTCACTTCTCAAGTTCTCCGGCACGGAGCTTTGTGCCCTTGGTGACTGGCAGGACCGCAGCCAATTGGGCGAGGAGTCTCGCATGCCCATGCACTACTCCGGCGCTCGCTACTTGCTGAGTTTCAAGCAGAAGTTCGTAGCCCTGGGGGCGCTCAAGACGCTGCAGGATTTCACTAGTTGGGAGGGTATCCCAACGGTGCAACTGGAGCCGTCCAAGAAGGCCGGGGAGGTCTTTGCGGGGCGAGCCCAAGCCCGGGATGAGGTGATCATCTGGGCGGCCCCCCCCTAACATGGAGGAGCTTCGATCTCGACTGCGGGTCTCTATATCCAGGCCAAGGTGGTCGCGGCTAAGCGCAAGGTGGAGCCGTCCGTGATCCAGGACATGCCGGACTCCATCAACGGCATCATAATGTCAGCCTTCATGCGCAATGGTCGCCGACTTTGCGGCCCCTTCCAGCTGGACGCATGCAAGGAAGGCGAGGAGGTGTGCGGTCGGGCGCATCTGTGCGCTGCTGTCCTCCAGACGGGCCGGGTCTGTGGCGGGCGCCATCATGGGCAGGACTGCAAAGCCAAGCGGGTGGTCCGGGCCTCTTCGGTTGCGGAGGGCGCTGCCTGTGGTGGAGTCGGCGCGCGGCAGCAAGCGGCCCCGGCCCAAGCAGCAGGCGGCCAAGTTGGTGGACAGGAGCGGGGAGCTGCCCACGATCAAGCGGGCTCGGCAGCAGGAGCCGTCTTCAGCCTCCCGAGCGCCACCTGTGCCTGTCGAGGAGGCACCTCGGCCGGGACGAGGAGGTGAGTCGGCAAGAGAGGATCAGCACTTCGATGACCTCGCGCGCCAGGGCCGGAAGGTGGAGCCACCTACGCTGGATCCGGGGGCAAGCTCTGGCTCAGTGGTCTCCCCACGCAGGACAACTTGGGCGACTTCCCGGCGGTGGCCTTGCAGGTGACGGCTTTCAAGCAGAAGCCGCAGGAGCGAGGAGGCTTGGTGCTGCCTGGCGTGATCCAGGTGCAGATGCCGATCACCTATTGGGGGGACCAGGATGGAGCTTGGCGCACTCACTGGCCCACCATCGCCCAGAGTCTCTATGGCGGGGATGAGGTGCTGCTGCACTGCATGGCGGGTCGCCATCGCGCTGCCGCGTTGGCGTTGCTGGTGCGAGCCTTGTTCGAGAACATCTCCTTGGAGGAGTCAGCGCAGCGGATCAGCAGACTGCGGCACATCGACTTTCAGGCCTTTGTCCGAGATCAGCGGGCCGCGGATTGGCTCTATGCGACCCGGACATCGGCCCGGCTCCCAACCCCGTGGCCGTTGCCGGTGGGT